TGCGGGGACACAGTGTTTGCGGGCAAGCTTTTCTCGCAGAAGTCTATCGAACATCGTCAGCAGCAGCCGCGACCTGGGCAGGAATTCAACCTACTTCCATGTACTGCATATAGTCGTGTCGCGTGACACTGTGAAGGGAATTGCATGACACTGTGACAGAAATGCATGATGCACTGCTGCACGCAACCATTTTGCATCATGGCTGCATCAAAATTGTGACACAGCAGCAGGCGACAGGAGAGAGAGGCTTGCAGTTGTCCTGATTCTGATAATAATTTTGTCACCTGTCTGTAGCTGAGGCTAAGTGACTCAGCTCCAAAAACTGCAAGCCATCATGAAATCCATTGCGTCTATTGGAATGCCCGTACGATCGGGCTTCTTGCGGCGAGTCTGCTTCGCCGCCTTGGCATCTGTCATGAGGCGATAGCCGGTCTTGCGTCTCCTCGGCAAAACTCAGTGACACTGACTCAGCAGAATTGCGACATGGTGACACCGCAAACTTCTGCAGGCAAGCATCATGTCCTTGGGGTCTGAACGCAAAATGAAGCAGAGCTCTTGACCCCGAACTGCCTTCCAGGCTTCGTGACACGTAGCAAGTGCCTTGGCCACGGGCAAGGCAGTTGTCATTTCGGCTTTGTCCTGACCCAGCATCGACTTGTGTATAAGAACCTCAATGTCCTTCGTGAATGCAGGTTGTAGGGCCATCAGTGGTCGCAACAATTGCCGCCTCTCGTGACACTGTTGTAGCCAGCACTGTCCAACGATATATCCGCCCATGACACGCGACGCTGTGAAAAATTCGGACACATCTTCATCCGGTGTGTCTTGTGCCGGTAGCATCATGTGACACTCGGCCTCATATGTTGGACAGAACCAGAACAAGCGGTTGGCCTTAGCCAGCTTTAGACACTGAGTGGTCGAGAATTTCCAGACTTCCACCTCCAGATTCTGCTCTCTCATGACACTGTGCTCGATGGGTTTCTCAGTGACTAAGATACATTTGTCACCAGGGTGAACCGACTCCGGCTGCATGGATGCCTTGACAATGGCACTGTCCATGCGACTAAGGGCCTCTCTGACCTCCGCCTCATCTTTCAACGCCTTCTGGTATTTCACCGCATTGGGTCCATCTCCCGGCTCCATTATGTCCGCTCTGAACTGTTTCCTGGGCACGGGTGACACTGACTGATTGAACAACGACACTTATGGCGACTCATGACTCAGTCTGACGGACAATGATTGCATCCACGGATCCTCTTTGACACTAGCACGTTCTTCAAACGTTTGACCAGATCTTGATAGCCCGTCTGAGCTTCGACAGCTCGTGACGCTGAAGCTGCCAACTGTGCAAGCTCATCTGCATCGTGACACTGTGCAGCCTGGACCTCCTCCAACTGACCTTCACGCTTGCGCTTCCGTGAGACCCTGGTGTCCTTCTCCACAAAATTAGGTCGCAGTGACACTGGCAAGCAGCGGCGTGGTAGAAGCGTTCGACGACGATACACAGAACCTTTGCCTCCAAAGAGTGCCAGGTAGCGGGCCATCGTGGCACTGCAATCCTCGCTGGGGACATACGTGGCAGGTGCATCCACGTGACTCCGGTGAGACTGAACATAGTCTTCAGGTTTTAGTCCGTCCAACCGGACCTTGAGGAGACTCCTTAGTTGAATCAACATCGTGACCCGGTGAACGACTCATGCATGACTCTGAAACGACGCCAAATGCTGCTGTGGGTCCTCACGTGACACTCAGTGGTCTTGGCCTTTCGCTTTGCCGTGAACATCTCCACCAGCGAGAAATTCTGCTCAACTTCACATGACCCTGGGTAGGTTGTCAACATAACGGCAACCTTAGTTAGAATGCAACATTGCGCACAGCACGATGGCACGTGACACTGACTAAGTGCGACCTCGGTGCAGCCTTTGCCAAAACGGGCAACTTCTTGTGCCAATGCTGCATGGCCTGCCCCCAGCACGTGACACTGTCGTGCGTGCCAGACCTTTCCAGGGATCCAGGTGACACTGTGACAACCCGTGACACAGGAAGCTGCCTCTTGAGTTGCTCCACGGTGGGTCTGGCCACCAGGAGCTCCTTGCTCAAGCGTTGGGCCTGACACTGAGATAGCAGCATTTGGTACAGTGATACACGTGACACTGAAGCTCAATAATGCAAGCAAGAGTCATCCACGTGACACGCAGCAGCAAGGTCCGCAAGCATCTCGGGCAAAGCCTCGTCCGAGAAATTCTGCGTGACCCAGTGATCCAAGTCGAAGCACTGCAGGGATCTCGTGACACTGCTGTTGTGCTCAACCTCCAAGGACTGGAGATACTGCGCGACCACTGCGTGGATGACACCGAGCTGCTTGCCAACTGCAGCACGGAAATTCGTCTCGTTTCCGTAGCCTGCCCTGAAGTACACGAGACACTGATCGTAAACGAGTGCCTCGGGCTCAAGCAAGTTCACTGACGCTGACAATCGTTGCAAATACCCTGCAGTGTACTCGTGACACAGCACCAAGGGTTCTTTCCCGTCCTCCAACGAAAACAGCCGCTTCAAGTGACTCTTTAGCTGTGCGAAGTAAAAGTTTGACCTCGCCAGCTGGTGTCGGTTCGTGTCGAAGCGGTGGTGGAACTTTGCACACGTGGCACTGAGCTCTGCAAGCAAACTCAACAAGATCATGTTGTCAGCAGAAAAGACCCTGGTCATCTTCTCGGCCCAGTGACGCAGCTTTGGAGAATGAACCCGAAACAAGTGCAACGCCCTGAGAACCGGGACAACATTCTCAGTCAGCGTGACACAGACCAGCATGATGGAGTCGAACCTTTGAGGAGCCACGTGAAGACTCCCCAAGGCGCTGTCAGCAGCGTTGCAGCCCTCGAGACACTGACCCAACAGCTTGGTCAGCTTCGAAGAATTGCGAATGCCACGTGCCAATCCTCCAAGATTGCGATCATCTGATGGTGGGCTTGACGCTGTAACCAGAGCTTCCACGAGCTTTGAGACACGTGACTCTGAGTTCAGAGCATTCTCTAGTGAACGCTGAGCACTGTGCAAGTGACACCGAAGGATGATGGTAAGCTCCTTCAAGTCTTGTGCCTCCTGCACGAGACTCTGCAACGGAGGCCTGACACTGACACGTGACACTGTCACATGCCATTGTCCTTCATGTGACGCGCTGACGCTGGCTCGGCTCTCAAGCCGTCTGACACGAAGACCTGCCCCACAAGGCTGACGCTAGACTGTCTCAGACACGGTGACACAGTGGCCTTCAGCTTCGTACGGAACAAGTTCAACACGTGACTCTGCCCACCGGCAAAGCGCTCAATGGCTGCCCAAAGATGTCTGGACTTTTCCAAAGCATCCTGCACTCATGAAATGTCACAATGTGGCATCAAGCTGCACTGCAGAACCTTGCCCACCTTCCCCTTGGTCTCCGAAACATCCAGCATGAAGTTCATGACACTGTAGTCGCCCAATGCGGCCCGACATTTGACCAGCTCCACACCCTTTCGCTCGTCCTGCAGCATTGGCATATTTTGATTTGGGAATTCATTGAATTCATGGGTTTCATCAGCGAAGCCGTGCCTGAACAATTCCCAGACTCAAGACACCCTTTTTCAGGAGTGTCTTATGCTGCCTCTCTGTCAAGACAGCCGCATAGGCCGTCGCAATGTCATAATGTGTGTGGCGCTTGCTGTGCAGAAGTGGACACTGCAGGGGATTCGACCTTGTCAGTCAAGGAGCGATGCGAGGCAACAGCAAGGACACTGACTCTGACACGACAGTGACAAAGTGATTTTCTCGTCTAAGAAGTCCCGCCTGTTGTGCTCGAGACACCGCTCTTCGTAGCTGGTGCCCTGTGCTGCCAGAGGTTTCCAGCACGTGGAGATAGAAATGAGACACTGGAGAGGCGTCAATGGAGTGCGGTTGATGACCTTACCCTGGCTGGACTCGGCCACATGACCCTGTTGCTCTGCGTCAGCTCCTTGCAAGAGACGACTCTGCGCCAGACTATGAACTTTGCAAACATTCCCCGCTCGGCTTCGATTCCCGTGACGCAGCAAATCTTCCAGTTGTAATGGTTGCCACTTGATTGCCTTGCCATCGCTCGTGACACTGGCTCCTTTCCTCGGTCCCGGTGAGAACACACTCACCGCACTAGAACGCATGCGACACTGAGTCAATGAATCGCTGGGGCCACGACGTATGCAACATGAACGGGGTCGTCTTGCCATGTGCTGTAGGATCCAACTTGTACAGATCAGCGCATATTTTGCAGCCTATACCCCATGGCCGCCCGGCCGGCGCGACTTCCAAATACGTGACCCAGTCGCCTTGGTTAATGGACTGACTTGACACGTTGGAGTGACACTCACCAGTTATGCCGAGCCGCCATCAGATGTCTGATAGACGCATTTCAACTTCCAGTTCGAGCCGTGTTTGGCCCAGCGACACTGGTTGCAAGATTTCAGCTGCAAGTCCTGGGTCGCGATCCACTCACTGTCACTGAGTCACTCAGCACAATTTGCAGTCAAGTGACGCTGCCATGGATGGGACAGGAAGCAGGCATAGAAATTCTATCATTCAAGATTCATGCAAAATTAATCACTCGTAGTATGACTTGTGTGCTGCAATGCTGTTGCTTCATCTCTGGGACTTCTGTCAATTCCAAACGAAATGCTGCGAGTGATGCTGCCTGCCAAAGACAGGGTGCTGAGCAAGGCAGTGCGACCCAGCGGTGAAACCACTTTAGTCACTTAGTCATTCGACTGCTGTTTCTTCCCCGGCACCAAAGATCTGACTCGTGACCCCGGACTCTGGGCCCATCGGTTGTACATGACCGACTGGATTAAAGAACTGCTTAAGCAGTGAGTTTGGGACAGGGCAGCACACATCAAAAATTACTGCTGTAAATTTCATTAGTCAGTTGAATGTACTATGACAGACACTGTCCCTAACTCGTTTAAAATAGTAATAGTCGCGTGGCTCTGCGACTATCTATGAGCTGTCGGACTCGTGACTCGCAGTGACTTTCAATTTCTTAGTGACGCCTGACTCAGGGACAGCATCGTCGGGCAGAGTCGCCAGGGTGACGCGTCGCTTGACACTGTGGATGGCCTCCACGATCGACTCCACCTGGTCTTCCTTGAAGACGTCGGTGAACTCCTCCAGCAGGGTCGTCAGGTCTGCGTCCAGCTCTTCCACGTGACCCAGAATAGTGTGCTTGAGATCTCTGAGGCGAGTCTCGCGGTTCTCTCTGATCACACCACTGCGGACCTCGTCTTGCCCAATCTTGCCCAGGACGCTCAGCGTGACACTGACGTGGCACTCCAGCTTCGGAGTGGGCAGGCTCTCTAGTGACGCTGTCCAGAAGTCCTTGGCAACACAACTGTCATTCGCCGGCTCGTGACACTGGCTGACTGCTGCTTCTAAGTCTCGGTGATGACGCTGTAAACATTATTCACGAACTCGCCAACCGGTCGCAACGCCTTGAAGACGTAGACCCTGTACCTGGGTGACAGGTTTGACATTGATTGAAGTAACTGACGAAGACTCAGACTCAATGTCAACACGAATGAAATCCTCGCCAGGTGACCTCTTCGGCGGAGTCAAGGGAACCTCTCCATCCAAGACCCACATGAGGATACCCAGTGTGTCAATGTTGCTCAACATTGACACTGCGCATTCGTCCGTAGGAAGCTTCTTTCCTGGCAGCATGTGCCTGGACGGATTTAAGTGGATGACGTTTGAATCTGAATCATCTTCAAACAGACACAAATTCCGGCCTGCGCAGACACTGACTCAACATGGCAGCTGTGGTCGGACAGCTCGGAGCATACCACGTGAAAGCCGCCTCCTGCGTAGCGATTTTGTCCTCTGGTTCCTCCACCGGTCCAGCGGCTGCTGTGTGCAACACATTTAGCTTCACCCTATTCAGCTCGATGCTTGCCCACGGGGTGTGCAGCACATTGAAGTGCCGGATCACCATGTTGTGGTCCGAGCACGTGACACAGTCGTGCTCAACACACCACTGGAGTCCATGCAACAACGTGACACTGACCAGCTTGAACTCCCTTCCAGTCAAGAGGCCTGCCGCCTTCAAAGCCGGTTTCGGCTTGGCCTTCTGGTTCGACCAATCCACACCGAGCCTCGTGACACTGCAGCATACGGAACAATAATAAGGTTCAATCAAGTGACACTCAGATCAATTTGGCCAAGCAGCTTGCGGCCCCGTCCTTTGATGGCCTGCTTCACAGCTGACGCTGCATCTGGCCAGCACGTGACGCTGTTCATCGACCCGGTCAGGTCATCCGTGACAAAGTACCATGTGTTTGCCATGGCTCACCGCTACGGAACACTACTCGTGACGTGCGTTGGTCGCGCCTTGATCTCAAAACTCACTGGGAGAACTGAA